GCAGGTCTTTGAAAGCCGCGGGAAAGAAGGACAAGTGTCGGAAGAAATCGAGGGCCGAAAAGAAGCAGTCGAAAGAGCATCGCAGAAGCGGCGCCGGCCCCTCTGCGAAAACGGAGCACAAGCGCAGCCGCAAATCCGGATCGAAAGTTACAGTCCCTTCGAGTGCACGGGAGATTTCAACGCTGAAAGAACGTAACGAGTCGCCCCCCTCGACCCCCGTCCGGGGAAGGCGCGGAAGCGGCGCCGAGAACCGTCCGCCAAGGGCCCCGGAAAAAAGATCGCGGGATGATAGAAGCACGACTACGCACCGCAGAACAAAGAAGAGAATATCCTACAAAGACGACAGAACAGTGGAGACAATCGATCTTAGAGGGTCTGACGACAGGCACAGCGGACCCCAAGTGGAAGAAGAGGAGGAACACGACCGTTCCGCGCCAGAGAAGTCAGATGGTGCGGAGGACGAGGAGCCAGGAAACGAGGGAGACGACAGCGATTCTTCCCGCAGACAATCGCAAGACACCGATGAGGACGACGACAACGACGACAAGTCGGCCAGCGAGAGAACTGGCAAAGACCAGAGCGCCACTTCGGAAAGAGGTGGTTCGCCATTTCCTTCGAGGACGCTGCGCAGAGAAGGAGAACGGCAGACACGCAATGGCAGCGACACCGAGGAGCGTGTCGGTGACAGACAAATCGTACAGCACGTCAGCGCCGCCGGAAAAGGTAAAAAACCCCGCGTCGCACTGACTCCCCTCCCACTCCGATCACATAATCCCGTGCCCCCATGCGGTGCACGCCTTTACGCACGGAGAAGTGTCGTTGTAAACGCACAGCTGATAGCCGAATCTTCAATTTTGCAAGTGCTGTATTTAAAACAAGGCGCTGAGTTGTTAACACTCTCCTGTGCGTTGTGTCTTGTGTTTCCCACCGATCGCAACGTCACGAACGAAAGTGCGCGCAAGCGGCGGAGCCGTGCAAGGACCGAAGGACGAGAGCGCCGCATTCGCGAAGAAAACGAAGGGCAAGCTGTTGCGTTCCGTCGCCAAAGCCTTTGCGTTCTCTGCGGCAAACGACGCAACTTTGTACCCGACAGAGGACGCGTTTTTCGCGGCGGTGCAAGCGACGGCGAAACTGGCAGGGGAGACAGCAGAGGAAGGGTTGCGGTCTCATATAGCAGAGTGCGGGATTCGAGCTGTCATAGGGGAATGCAACAGAATGATGACGACGATCCGCGGAGAGATTACATGGCAGCTGAAACATTGGTTTTGGGCTGAAAAAGGGATTCCGCTCGTCGGATCGCAGCAAACGGACCACCACCTCACCACTTGCAACAAGATGCGCACCGAGATGAAGGAGAACAAGACGTGGAGACGGAGCGGCGACGATCCGTGGGGCGCCCTCGCCTTCAAGACGGCACTCTTAAAAGTTTTTCAGATGAGGAAGGAAGACCGGAACCTGGGCGTCACCCTGCAGCAACTGGCTTTTGCGGAGATGGTCATTCAATGTGAGATTGAACAGACAACGAAGACGACACGAGCTGCGGAGCAGATAGAAAAATTGGTATCTATAAAGCAGGCAATCGTCTCATCTCTCCGTAGCCGAGACACGGTAATGAGTTTTTCCGTCTTCAAACTGGACCGTTCCGTATCCGTGGCTGAGAAGGCAGCAACGCTCTTTCGCTCTGGCACGCCGTCTGTCCATAGGCCTGGGCCTCCAAACACCACAATAACGGATGACGATTACGACATCGAGTTCATTCTTCCTCAGAGTACAGTAGCCGGAGACGGGGACAGGCGCACCGACAGTCTTTGCGCCGCACCCTGAACAACGAGGGACAGTTTGGCGACATTTCGACATGGAAGGGAGGATGCGGGGCAATGACCAAACGGTGGAACGAAAGGTTCTTTTTTTAGACGTTTCGAACCAGGAGATGCAAAATCGAAGGCCACAGTCGGTGCAGGAGAGAGAGAGAGAGAGAGAGAGAGGGAGAGAGAGAGAGAGAGAGAGAGAGAGAAAGAGAGAGAGAGAGAGAGAGAGAAACATATGAAGACCTTCAGTTTTGCAGAAGAGAGAGAGAGAGCGAGTGCTTGCACGCACGTGCACCGCCTGAGGATTGCGAGCCGTATGCTCCATACAGTCTGATAACTACACAACTTCTGTTATTTTTGATACACAATTGTACAAACATTTGTAATGCTCATCTTTGTGCGATTGAGTGGTGTGTTCGGCTGACTCTGTAATGGTAACATGACACGACAATGTGTTTTGTCAAGCTGTGGTGAAACTTGTTTGTTGCAGGGCAGGGTGACGTGGACTGAGGCTCCCCATGCCAAATCTCCTTATATAGAATGGGACACAGCAATCTTAGGGGCACAGAAAAGGAAGGTTGGCTACTGCGTGCCAAAATGTGACGGACCCTGCCGTGTTGGACAATTTGCGGCCCGCAGTAGTCAACCTTGTTTGTACGAGGGCAGCCCAACATTTAATCGACG